AGGCAACCAGCATTTCCATGCGATTATTTAAATGCAGAGTTATTAGAAAAGTTTGCAGCTACAGAGATAGATGAGTTTTACATAAAATCCCTGCTCTTTGTAGCAATCCAATGTGATATTGAGCAAGATAATGGTCAGAAAGTACATTGCCAGGCTCCTAATGAGAAACTGTTGACAGTGGAATTACCCCAACATTCATCACAAAGCCAATAAATGTCAGGCAAGAGGCCTTTGATGCAGTGGCTCATAATTCCTGTTCAGAAGTCTTATCAGTCTCTTCAGGGCACACAGTCTCCTGCATTTCTGCTGATCTTACCAAAAACTTTGTCGCTGAAGAAATACAAGGAGCAGGTGTCAGCAGTCTGAGTGCCACAGTTACGGTGCCACGGGCTCACCGAGAGACCCTGGGCACAGCACACTTGGCCTCAATTTCCCCATCTGCAGTACAGGAATGACAGTACCAGAATTACCCAGAGGCAATTCTGTGAAGGACACAGTGTTGCCATCCAAATGCTCAGAAATCATGAGCTAGACAGTAAAAACTCTGATGCTGACTTGTGCCAATGAGGTAGTCATGTTTTTTTAATGTTAACTATGTCCAGCTTTTTAAGCCTTTGTAGTACATATTTGCAAGCTCTCTCCTCCACATCTCCAGGAGGTTACTTCAAACCAAGGCAAAACTAATTCTTACCGAAGCTGCTGAATGCTGAGTTGGGTGGCCTTAAGGAAATGGCATGAAGTTTATGGAAAAACTTATATAAACTGTTCTTTGGCTCTATGGAACACAGAGGATATAAATACCTTGCCCCAGTCCTCTGTTTAACTCCATCTTCAGCATATATCCCCCAAATGATGTGGTGAGGCAGCTGGTTGCCTGGCCCATGAATTAGGAGCTATCTTGTCCAAGTGTTACTCTGGCTATCACTGCTCCCCAGCTTCTTGTTTGCCTTGTTTGTGACGTAAGCCTGAAGCTACACCACAGGTGGTATGATTATATCCTCCACATTTTGCCTGTATATCTTTTCTAAAATTTCCACGTAAAGGCTCAAAGCCATTCTTCTAAGGCCTCCATGGACTCTGAGGTAGCTCATTCCATTCATACTGGTGATTCCTTGCTTCCATTTCCTTGACAGGTTTCCGTTCCAGCTGTTCCTGTGCATATGAATAGAAAACATGACCCAGTCAGTCATTTCCAGGGATAAACTGCATCCTAGAGGATGTGTGCAGATGGAGTTGTACTTAGCTTCCAGAGAAGGCTGAGTGTGTGCCACATGCTATTAGGGTCACTTGAAACTAGGCTAATTACCTGGCAGACATCACTGCAGAGAGGTTCTTTAATAAAAATGGATGGGGTGACAAGGGATAGACTCCTTGCTATTTTGGGACAAACTCTTCCCTCAGGCAGCAGATAACCACAGTGGTAAGGCTCCCAATCTATCATTTGCTTTGCTGTTTCTTGGCTATAGAACTTAATTAACAATTCTGGAACAGCACTGTTTCCCAGGAATAGCCTGTAAATCCATTAAATTAAACAATAAAGACAGATGTGGGCAAAAATAAAAATCCCATGCAAGTCAGAAATGAAAAATTAAGTTGTTTTGTCAGTCTTCAGGGGCCACTGCAGGAATGTTATAAAACCTTCTGAAGCCTTCCTGTCTAGTGGTTCAAGCAAGAGGGAAATGTTCCTCTGGATGCTATAATTTCTGGAATTGATGATTACTAATTGAAAGGGCATGGAGTGACAGGGAAAGGGGGAATGGTTTTAAACAGAAAGACTGGATAGATTAGATATTTGGATGAAATTCTTTCCTGTGAGGGTGATGAGGCACTGGCACAGGTTGCCCAGAGAAGCTGTGGCTGCCCCATCCCTGGGAGTGTTCCAGGCCAGGCTGGATGGGGCTTGGAGCAACCTGATCTAGGGGAAGGTCCCCCTGCCCATGGCAGGGGATTGGAACTAGATGAGCTTTAAGGCTCCTTCCAGCCCAAACCATTCTATGATGAATCTATGATTTTATAATTACATAATTACTTTATTACACAAAATAGTACAAATACTGTGAAAAGTGAGTTAAAACATAAATATTATTTTATTTTCAAGATCTGAAAGAACAAGGCAAACATTTGTCCTACCTGTGAATCAGACTGAAAAATACTGTGAGCCTTAAAAAGAGGTGTTCTTAAGGATCTGAACTCAGTCATCCAGAGCACTGTGCTTCCTCAGCTTCCATGGATTTGAACTGGGAAGGAGCTCAAGGCATTATGCTCTTTGGTCATTTAAAGAGAAAGCCCAGGATAAGGGAAGAGTTCTACTATTTGTCCATCACATAAACAACCAGAACACCATTTTTGAGAGTAAACTTCCCTTCTCGTGACCACTTTGTCTTGCTCAAGTATATGTGATCTTAATCTTACTTACCACATCCATTAACACCAGTCCACTCAGAGTGAGAAGTGCTGAGACACCTTTGGAATATTAGTGTCCTATGAGACCATTCAAATTCAGTGAATCCATGCACAGCAATAATTTGATTCCATTGCAGTATAACTTTCAAATGAAATAATTATTCTGTAAAATTCATTTTTTTCCCTTAAAAAATTGCAAGCAGGAGTTAATAACAATAATGCCAAACCCTGTCTGGTGTAGATGGCAATTACACAAGAAGAATTTCTAAATATCTGAAAGAAATGTGCTCATCTAAACCCTCACTTATGCTTAAAGATGTCCAGTGAAACCATTTTATTACTGCAGTTAGCTGGAAGGAGCACTGTTCTGCAAAAATCAGATAATGTACTTATTTCTAAAAGCCTGGAACAAAAGAGCCAGTTGAGATTTGCTGAGTAGTTGCAAGATAGCCATTAAATATAAATATTTTTAAAAACAATTTGCTCTTTCCTGATGCTTTTAGAGCGGTGTGTGGGAACAGAGTCTAAGTGCAGCATCTTACTGCATTACAGAGGACATGACGAAGGTTATTGGGCTTCAGATTTAACTCTTCTATCTCTTAATTGCTCATAACAGTTCCTAACCTATATAAACTACATGAATTTATATAAAACTTAACCATCTTTCCCAGTGGTAGCTATAAAAGTTTATATTTTTGAAACAACTACTGCCAATGATGCACATTTTTCACATTCCTATAGAAACAAACTATGTTTAATGCTGAATTCAAGTTTAAGTTTCCATTCCTCAAATAACACATTGCAGCAGAACTGAAAATTTCTTTCTTTTCAACCTGAGTATGGTCTGTAGATGGAAAAGGACTGTCCCAGGACTTTATTGGGTATCTGATTCACTCCAGAGGAAAACTGGGGAATGAGCTAACACTCATACAGACAGGAAACCAAGGACACAGGGCCAAACATACCTTTAAAAAATCCTTCTTGAGTCATACTTCCACATTTGGAGTTCCAGTAGCAGTAGGTAGGACTCATCTGTTCTGACTGAAGACATCTAAATCTGCACTAAGCTCTTTAGGCTGCTTTTACTGGGAACAAAGAAAAAAAGGCCCATCTATACAGTGATTCACCTGGTCTCGCTTAGATGTCTATTTAAGGATGAGATAGATGAGTCTTCATGATTTGGCTGTGTGGAACTTCAGAAAGAATGTCTTTGCTGAAAGGCCATCCCATGTTGATCACCATGGATTGATACTGAGGCTCATGTCATTCAGTATCATCATCAATAACAAGTCCTCAGCAAATCTGCAGATGATGTGAAATTGGGGCAATAGACACACAGAATGGCCTGGCTTCAATTAAAAAAAAAGCATAATCCAAGGAGAAATGCAAGTCTCTTCAGCTGGGAAGAACAACCCCAGCACCAGTAGAGGTGAGGAGTTCCTGCTGGAACTGGGCTCACTGTGGATGCCTGGCTGAATCCAAGCCATTAGTGCACTCTCATCACAGATCAGACAAAATGCACACTGAGCAGGACTGACTGACAGTGAGCAGCACGTGGAGGGCATATTTTGCTCTCCTCTGCTCAGCACTGCTGAGGCCATATTTAGAACAGAGTCCATTTTTGGCACAACCAGCACAAAAGGGATGTAGAGAAACAGGAACTGGTCCTGTGGAGGCCTGACAAGCTGGTTACCTAGAGAATGTGACCCTCAAGGAGAGTGGAGGAAGCAGGGCTAGTTCAGTCTGGCACAGAGGAGTCTAAGTGTGGTCTAACTCCAGCTCGTGACTGCTTGAAGAGTGTTACACAAATAATGAAGTTTCTCAATAAAGTCAGGTAATGTAACAAGGGGCAATGGCCACAAAATGCTGCTTCAAGGCTCAGATTGGACATTAAGAAAAAATATTTCACCAGGAGGGTTGCAAAATGCTGTAACAGATTACCCAGAGGAGCAGCTGAATTCCTGTTGTCAGAGGTTGTCACGTCCATAAATCCATGGCTGAACTGCTCCAGTGCTGGAAAAGCACAGCTGTGCACACAAGGACGGACTTTGCAACTAACACATCTCAGGTTCTGTGATAATCTGAAGACATACAGCCTTGAAAATTACAGCTGGGTCAAGACACTGCTGGGTGAGAATCTCTGCTGAAGCCCACGGGTGGCGGCTTTCACCCCCAAGTCATGCTCAGCCTCCTTGGAGTCATCAGCAAAATTCTCTAGAGCTGGAACAACTGCTTGAACTGATGGTGGAAAACCAGGATTTGCTGGGGGAGACAAACTGGTCATAGAACCAATTCACAAGCAGATGAGTTCATAGGGACCAATGGATGACCATTACTGGCTTCTGTCTGTAACACCCAAACAGGCCTGGAATCCATTAGGATATGTCCTACCATCATCTCTGGAATGTGCCCAAGCCCTTTAATTGTTTATTAGTAACAATAAGTGGAAATTCTCATCCAGAACTACGGGGACAGGCACTGAACAGGGTGATCTGAGCTCTCTCTCAGTCTCTCTGATTCCCTAAGCAACCTGGGACATATTAAACTGATTTTTGCAGCACGGAGTTCCTTCTAAAACCACAGATTAAATTCATTGCTGAGAAAAGCCATTTTCTTTTATTTTTCTTAACATTTATTGCATATTAAGAATAAGTTTATTGTGTCTGGCATATGTGAGAAGAGAACTTTGAGTAAGAACAAAAATAGAGTTCCCAAAGGCAACTGCGTGAAGAAACATAAAGCACAGCTAAGGTTAGCTTAGAGACAAGACTCATTTCTTCTGCTCCTGAGAGTGTGACCAGACAGGCTTACGCTTCTGAATAAAGGCTTCGATACCCTCCTGCCCATCTCTCAAAGTCAAATTGTCTACCATGACCTGAGCAGTTATTTTGTAAGCAGTGTCGAGGTCCTGGGTTATCTGTCTGTAAAAAGTGGCTTTCCCCAAGGCCAGGACAGACTTGCTGCTTTCGCATATCTTCTGAGAGATTTTCATGGTCTCTTCATCCAGTTTGTCTTCTGGCACCACCTTGCTGACGAGCCCGTGAATTAATGCTTCTTGGGCTGAAATAGGTTGACCTGTGAAAAGCATCTCTAATGCCACCTGAACAAGGAAAAAGGTTTAGGTTAGCTATTAGGAAGAGATTTTTTTTTTTATGGAGAGAGTGCTCAGGCATTGGAATGTGCTGCCCAGGGAGGTGGTGGATTCACCATCCCTGGAGGTTTTTAAGATGAGACTGGATGTGGCACTTAGTGCCATGGTCTAGTAACCACAGTAGGGCTGGACTTGGTGATCTTGGAGGTCCTTTCCAACCTGGTTGATTCTATGATGTACAAGTTACTTTTTTGACAAACATGAGATTCAAATCTTTTGGCCTCTTAAACGGCCACGGGTGTGTTAAGAGGTCTCAGCAAAGAGAAGAACTGGGTCTGAAGCTGGTCTCTCTTCAAAGTTGCCCACTGATTCCAGCTGTCCTAGCTGACACCTCTGGCTTTCTCTGAAAAATCACACAATCTCTAGGGATTGCTGTAGGAATTGAGATATGGATCATCTACAATGCCAAATAACTGAACTTTGTATTTTAAGCTGAGCATATAATAATAAATACAGAGTTATTACATCAATGTGCAGTTTTTGAAAACACCTGCCTTAGTTTTAAGTTTGGTATGGGTGGTTTTAAATATGTCCTTATAGCCACATCTATTTCAGCCTCCTGCTGCTTCCAGCATCTTGTACCTGAGGTTTCAAATGACAAAATCCGCCAAATACTCAGTGCCTATTCAATGTCATATCTCAATCAGGATTTTTTCCCCATTACTCTTGATGCAACTGACCAATGCCTGAATCATAAAAGCTAATTATCCTCATTAGTATCTTTGCTTTGGTAGCCACAATTCATGGAAACATTTAGTTTGTTAAAAGGTAAAATCAGCAATCCTGGGACATGTGGGGAATGTTTTTTGAGAAAAATTGCTACTTTGTGAAGTGGCACAAAGAAAAGTATATCCCACACATTTTTAAAAGGTGATCATACACCTCAGAAATACTAATTCAGGAACAGTTACAGCTGTACACTGTAGCAGACTTGGGAAAAAAAACCCCACAGAGTATATTTGAGGATGTAAGGATGGCCTTACAGATGGGAAATTTCAAGCTGAAGCTCTTATCCAGCAATAGGACTTCTGCAGCTCAGTCACTGCATCTCAGCAGAGCCCTGCTGGGCTTGGAGAGTCTGTCTGCATGAATCCAGCTGGAGCAGAACTTAAAATATCTATTCTCAGTTACGGAAGCTTTACAGATTGTACTATTTTTTATGCAGTGAGAGATGTGCAGCCACAATCAGTAGGACATAAAACAGGAAGACAGTATAGGAGGGTTTTTAGATGCTATTTAAAGCATCTTGATCCACAGCCAGCCAGATCCTGCTGGCAGTGAAATGTCACTGCCTGGCAAGAATTGATGCCTCAATGGGATTGTTATCCTGAACTTGCAGGGGTTTCCTCCTCAGGGAAGAACATCACTGGCTGAAGCACAGAGCTGTCTGTTGGAAAGGAAAGGGATCACTGAGCTGCTGGTATGAGCTCATGCTGGTTGGAATCACATCAGTAGGAAACTGCTTTCCCTAAACAGAGTTCATCCCTTCATAATTTTTCCCAGTCCAAGTTATGGAGATGCCTTTTGCAATGTTCTTTTGGATGATGTACTGCAGAAAAATAAAGTTCAAGCAATGGAACTAAAACTCCTAACATGGGCACCTACTTCTTGCAAAATTGCAAGGATTATCTGAGAAGGAGGCCTACCTTTCTTGGAAGAGATCTGCCCAAGGCCACAGCTGGTGTGGAGCAAAATAGCCCAATGTTTACTCCAGGAGTAGCAAATTGAGATTTCTCACTTGCCACCGCGATGTCACAGCTTGCCACCAGCTGACAGCCTGCTGCTGTAGCCAAGCCATTTACTTTGGCAATCACTGGCACTGGAAGTTTCTGGATTAAAGTCATAACCTGCATGCACGAAACAAAGTGGTCAGTATGGAAATTATGTAAGACATGATCCTGTTTTGCAAGCCCTCAAAAGTACCTTCCTCTCTCTACTGACCAGAAAATGCCCAAACTGTTGGACCTTAGCTCAGCTGCAAAGAACATTGGCTAAACTAAGGAACACACCGTGACTGTGCCCATTGTCAGACAGGCTCGTTGGCATTCTAGCCCTTTGATTTGCATGTAGACAAATCCAGGGAAAACATAATTTCCATATTAAAATAGTGGAGCAGCAAAAAAGCAAGGAATCTGGAGAACCAGCCAGTGCTTTAGCAAGCAGACAGCAATGCTGTCCCTCCTTAAACCCATGTTTGCTCTTAATACCAGGCAAAAGCAGAGGCACTCAAGAAGAACTGCTCACCTCTGCACATAATTCAAATACTTGGGAATGATGCTTCACATCATCTTCACTTGACAGTTCCTTTAAATCATGGCCAGAACAAAATACAGGTCCTTCAGCTGCAAAGAATTTTGTGAAAAGTCAGTCTGAATTAATCAGGAAACCAAGGGTGGCAGCATATCAATGCCCCACTAAAGAGGTGTCAATGAGATGTCAGTGGTCAAATAGGAGTTTGGGGGGGAATTTTACACAGAGATCCAAAATATTCCCTTCTGGGTTTTGTAACAGCTTTAAATTGCTGCAATGCAATATTTAACCACAGGAACACTCATAATCACTTTTCAAGGCCTAGTTTTACTTCCATTCCATTTAGCTCAGTTATAAATAAGGCACTTCACACCTCTGAGCCCAGTTTCTTGTAAGGACACTGCTCTGAACAGCTCCTTGGTACAATGCAGACTACTCAGCTGGAGCAAGGCTGGAGTGCTCTGCTCTCAGACTGATAAAAACAGTCAGTCCCTATTTATTGCACTCAATTAATTATTAACTTTTGCTAAATAAGCATCAAGATTTTTCTGTCATCGTGTTCAAGGCCGCAATGTTTAAAAAAGCGAAAAAAGGTTGTTCAGCTAGAGGAGAACCAGAAGGGTTGTTGGGGTGTCTTTTCCTTCACTGCTAAAACTGTCATTTAGAGAGTCCCAAAACTCATGTCCAGGATTTGGGCAGCAAAATAGAAGGATTTTGTGGAACTAAGCTTTGGATTTGCTAAGATCAAAATGCTCTTTACAGGTACATGATCTTTACAACAGTTTTCCCTTATCATGAAGGTCTCTACCTTAAAATTAAACCAATGTGATGCTTTGCAACCCTTCAGAACTTCTCAGATATTTGTATGCATGTGACATTTCCAGCTATAACTATGCAGACCCAACCTTACCTATGGATTTGGTTCTTATGGATAGATTATTGTGACACAGTCTATCCAAGAAAAACCACACAATTAACATCAGTCAGGATGTTAACTGGGATCAGGAATACACATCTGGAAATTAATCAAATCTGCATTTGTGCCTCATGGAGGAAGAATCCACTGCAAAGCCTGTTTTAAAGGCCCAAAGCATTCCCTGAGAAGTCTTTTATTTTCTTGAAGTTTGTCTGCATTCCAGTCAGCAAGGGAATAGGAAATAACAAGAACATGCAATCTCTTTTTAAACCCAAACAAAAAAAAACCTCAAATGAATTGTGCTCCTGAATTCTCAGGGTCCTGTACTCCCACAGAAGAACCTGAAGTGTTTCATGAACCCTGCAACTGCTGTTTAAAAGGTTGAATATGTGTATTTGAACTCACCCCTGTGAAGTCAGCTCACTTCCACTCTCATCTATGTGCACTAACACGACTTTCCTCTATGTATAGGAAACAGCAGCATCCTAAATTAATAAACCTGTTTCTCAGAGATGTTTGGAAGGGGGAGGACAGAGGAAGGTTATCTTAAAATAGCAGAGGAAAAACAAGATGGCTTAAGAATGGCTCAAGTTTCATTATCTGTAAGAACTCTATGGGTTAATACCTAAATGGAAGGAAACTGTAACCGGGCTCTGAGAGAGGCTGTTTTACATCTGTGGGTTACCAGTGACTGTGGTATTATGGTCTCCTTCATCAGAGAGTTTTTCAAATAGTTTTGACAATCCAGTGGCAAAGATAATGAGGCTGCAGGGGAGGCTCAGAGCAGGGGAACACAGCACCTGACTCGAGGAAACCTTGTGAGCCCTGTTGACTCCTTACCTGCCACCAAAATCAGCAAGTGTCACCAGCCAGCTCAGCCCATTCCTGCACAAAACCCCTGTCTGGGAATGTTAGTACTCTGGTAACTGTTAGAGCTTGGCTTTTGTTCAGTTTTAAGTATTCTTTAGCTGGAGTTTCAAAGCAAATCATTTCACCCGCTGTTTTCACAAGAGGACGGTGCTCCCTGACAGCAAACAGACTGCACGGCCAAACCGAAGCACTGACGTTTGGAAAGGCATTTCTGCTTAGGCGTTTGGCTGCCAACACGAAACCTAACACCACCCGCGTCGGGGGGCGATGAACACACGGCTCGAGAATGCGGAATTAAGCACGGGAGAGTGGGAACGGGGAGGAGAGAGGGAACAGGGAGGAGTGTCCGGGAAGAGTGTCCAGGAGTGCACAGGAGGAGGGTACAGGACGAGAGAACAGGAGGAGTGTACAGGAGTGCACAGGAGTGCAGTGGAGGAGAGCGCAGGCAGCGAGCCC